TCCCTTCTTTCCAAAGCCCAAAGGCTTGGTTCTGTACCTTCTCCCCCCGCCCGGCAGCACATGTGGGGCCCCAGTCAGTCTGCTGCTCTTTCCTCCTCACAGTCTCTCCCGGCTGCCATGTGGAGTCCCTTCCTCACTGTTATCAACAAAGGCACTCTTGTGGCTAGAAAAAAAGTCAAAATTTTTATTTTGTTCGTAGGTGGAGAATAAGCAAGCAGCGCTGGGCGCAAGGGGAGCATCCGTTCTACCAACAGGCGTACCTTTCCACAAAACCTATCCCTCTATTTATTCCCCAAAATGTTGCATATCCATTAAGTTTCGCAATACATTCATTCTCATATTCATTTCCCAGCCCCACCTCGCCCCATTTCTTATTATAATTAGCTAGAGTCCTTTAGGGGGTCCCAGGAGTCTCCTTTATCTTGTGGCTTCCTTATCATCATGGTTTTGATCTTTTCATCCTGTCTTTTCTGTTTCTTCCATCCGATTTACTGGAATCGTGGGGAGAGGGGATGCTTGAGATTACTGGGATCATGGGGAGAGGGGATGCTTGAGGAATTCTAGCAGGAATTTACTTCTCCATCACTGTTTGGTACATGAATTCATACATTTAGTATTTCTTCATCCAAAAAATGCCTTCCCTTACACCCAGATGAGACTAAACTCCACAAAACCTGTAGTATACCAATAGTATTAATTAGTGGTATTATACAGCTTACATAGGGGTGAGCAAGGACGTTGGGGGCCTCCATTATAAAACCATTCACCTCAAACCCAAGTATCGAGAGGGAGATGTAATCCTTCATGTTTTCCAAAAGATAGATCCAGCAGCATAGCATAAACCACCAGCGCCAGGACAAACACCACATTGTATACACCACTGTATTCCCAAGCTCTTTCTTCCTCCTCACAAAATAGCTCCCCCAGCACAGCAAAGCCATCATTGCCAGAGCCAAGCACAGAATCATTATTTGCATTAACATGTTTTAAATTGAGCAAAATTGAGATAAGTGGTGCAGTCGGTAAACTTTGTGACCTACACCAGAGCTTGTTCTACAGCACACTTAATGCAAGGACTGGTGTTATCATGCCCCACATTGGGGGCCAACCGGCCTGTAACCTTGGCTGGACACCAGGTGCCCACCAGGCTCCTCTATCACTCCCCCTTCAGCAAAATAAAGGGGGAGAATCAGATGAAAAACTCGTGGGTCAAGATAAAAGCAGTTTAATTAAAGCAAAGGCCAAGGCCATGCACAGAAACAAAAACAAGGATGTTATTTTCTGCTTCCCCTCAGTAAGCGATGTCCGGACACTTCCCGGGAAAGCAGAGCTTCAGTGTGTGCAGCAGCTGCTCCTGGAGACAAACCCAGTAACCAATGCCCCCCTCCTCCTCCCTGCCCTGGGCTGTTATGGCTGAGCTGAGGTCACATGGTCTGGAACAGCCAATCCGGGTCAGCTGTCCCGGCTCCGCCCCTCCCAAGCTGTGTGATAAACACCCTGCGAGCTGCCAGGGTCACACTCGGCCTTTAGAGGGCTGCTGGGGGGATGCTGACTCCAGCTCTGCCACACCCAATACAGTAATACACTGGCATATCTGTCAAGAAAACTTGTTTTGAAGTACTTTTAAGTGATACTAGGTAACAGAACCAGAGGCCATCTTTTTAAAATTGCTTTTGCATCTTTGGGTTTTTTTTGGCATTGTTTTACCAGTTCTAAGGAGCTCTTTGAATCTGAAGGTTTACTTGAGGTTAGTACTAAGTACGGAGGGAAGGTGATTAATGACTCCTGCATTCTTGCCAATTTATTCTATCTGTTTAGAATAACTGATATTTCTGATAGTGAGATGCTAAAAAATAAAAATACACTCTTGTATTGCAGTTGTGTGTTCAGATCCAAACAAAATAAATAAAAATTAGGTCAGAAATGAGTAGTCATTTTTTCCATAGCAAGTTACCAGCTTGGAATTAACACTTGTGTAGTTGAGGTGTGCACAGAGCAGACGTGCTTCCCAACAGCATGTACTGTTCTGTATTCTTTATAATTTTGCTTTTTATTACAGCATCCTGGTTTGAAAAGCTTACTTAGAAACTGATTTCAAAAGTTGTCCTTTATCTAGAGATTACACTAATTTTTGGGATGCAAATGCACTTGCTCCTCTAAGGGTCCAGCAACTCCAAATCTTGAGAAGAGAGAATTACTGGAATATATTATGTTAAGTGTTTTGTAGTTTAAAGAACACCAAAGCTAGGGTTGCTTTTGCAGCACAAATAAAACTCTTTTGTGTACAGAGTGACTGTCCTTACTGCATAACAAAAAGCTTTATTTACTGTTCTTCTACCAGTATTCACAGAGCAGATAGTTCTTTGAAGTTTTCTTTTTAAAGATGTTACAGACTTCATGCTTGCCACCTAAGCTTTGATCAGAAATCTTCCTTTGCAGGTATTTCTGTGGAGCTATGAATTAATTTGTATCTTAACATTAGGCTTTTTTCTCTCTATGTGCTAGCAACAGAGGCACAGGAGCCAGGATTGTCACTTGTTCGCTAACCTGAGTTCAGTAACTTGCTAAGCACTGTGCAGGTGCTTCTTGAGGAAGGAGTAGCTCAGTTTAGTCGATCTGAGAGCAGTGTTTCTGTAGTTCCTTGCTTGGTTGGCTCAAACCAACATCTTTCTCAGCCGATAGTGTTAAGTCTAGGGGTCTAGCAGACAAAAGGCTTGCTTCTGCAGAACTTTTTCCTGAATAGAGCACAGAATTTGTGGAAATGGGGAAGGAAGCTGTTGTGGATGAGTGTTTAGAAAGTGTGACTTAACAGTTTGATGGCAAGGTTCACTCTATTGCTTACTACTTGAAGGAAACATACAGAGGGAAAATCGGGTTAGAATAGATAATAGAATGATTTGCACAGGGACTGGAGATGCAAACAGGCAGGAGTGACCCTCCCATTGAGTCACGAGGTTCAGAAGTGACCCCCTTGCTTTCTAAACTCTTTCAGAGAGGAATCTGGGTGTGGCTGGATACGCTCCTTGTCCCAGAGTTGGTTTACTACTGAGGGATTATATGTGTTTATAGCTGAAGGATTATATGTGCACACCTGATTCTCTATATCACTTAGCTAAGATTTCAATGTTTCATCATGTTTATTCCCATTTCAATTTCCTTCCATCTGGGTGTCCAGTGTTAGTTCACTCCAAAGTTTGAACCCAAGGCTCACCAAGGCAGACTCTCAGGCATCAGATGTTATAGAAACAAAAAATTTAATGGAGTGATACAGCAGTGGGGTCAGCTCGAGCTGAGTGCCTCTGGAGAGGTGTCCTCTCAAACAAAGAGATCCCCTTAGAGACTATTCGCCTGCTCCTCACACAATAGTTCAGTTCAGTAGTAACGTCTGGGTCTGCGGTCTTCTTGTTCCTCACTGGATTCCTTCACTGTCTTCAGAGCGGTCATTATCTTGTCTAATTGCAGCTGCTGTTGATGGTTATAGCTGTGAAGCCTCCATATCTTCTGATTTATGCTGGCTCTGGAGGCCCTGCTTTGACTAAGTAGGTGCATGTTTGGTAAATCTAAGTGGTAATTTATAGCTTGTGGCCTAAGGCTTCAGCAAACCTAGCTGCTCATGCTGGGTAAGCAAGCAGCATACTGAATCGCACAATATTAAAACTGAGTGATTTGCTCTATTTAAAACTTACTTATCTAAGCTAAACAACTACTATCCCTTGGCAGTGAGAGGTGTCCCTGTTAAAGTTGCCTGGCATGCAGTCCAGTTGCTGTCCAGGGAAAATTCAGATTGGGCTCATCCAGTGGCCTGTCCTTAGTAAAAGATCTTGTTGCTTTGAGGAGCAGCCTGGAGAGGTGACCCAGCTCAAGGGAAGACGGTCACCATGCAGCCACACTGCCTAGCAGGGAGAGCTCAGAGGAGGCTCGCTTAGGTGGTCTGGCTCATAGTCAGATAGCATCCAATGAGAGAGGCGTGGACGAGGCTCCTTATAACCACAGTTTATTGGTGTTCACAGCATCACTCTGCTCCTTGTGGGTTTCCTGGAGGAGTTCTTGGCCAGGCTATGGGTCAGGCCTTTACCTCCTTTGGAGCCTGTACAAAACTGCTGCTGGTTTGGTAAAAGGGTGGGGAGGGATGGGGGGGTGTTGAGTGCATCTGTCACAGAAGGATATAACGAATTTAATTCTCGTGCTAGATGTACGTGGATTGAGTGGATATCCTCAATTTATTCTCTTATGTAACACAATTTTTCTTCACCCTGCCTGACCTGCTCTTCCTTAATCCTGACAATGGTGGAACAAAATCACTAAAAGCATGGAATATGTTGATATTCTAGAGTCAATTAGTGGTGTTGAAGCTGTTGTACTTACTGCATGTGTTTCTGCTGCTTTAACTTGGTGACTTATAGTATTGGGGAGTGATCCTCTCCTCCATAGAACAGTAACAGAAGAGGAGCCCTGAGCTTGAAGTAGAGGTGCAATCTCAGACTTCTAAATTCAGCTTATCTGGCAGGGGCTGTGTGTTGTCTCGTGATCTAACGCCTGTCTGTAATCGTCCTCCTCTTTTCCCCACCTTCATTGCTTCTGCAGCCGTCTTGCAATTCATGTCTTCTGTTGAAGCTTCTCTGCCTTGTACTGTTGTACACTAGAAAGATCTTTGAGATAACATAAGAGAAACAGCTTTTCTGTGACTTAATGTGAGCAAAATGAGACTTTTCTTTAGCCTGTCTTTTCTGGAAAGGTCTGAGCTGTGTCAACATCTGTAGTATTTTTGCCTGAGGCTGATTCATCAATACAGAACAGAAAGTAAGTAGAAATCTTTAAGAAAGACATTGTCTGGCAACATTAACTGTAAGTGTTTTTAATATTTTGGTGGACTTGTGATTGCAGAGGGTAAAGCAAAAGACTGTAAGGGTAATCAACTAATTCCAGTCAGTAGTTCAGTAACTGCAATTCAGTTATTATTAAACTGTTAGTCATCCATATGTGTGTGTGTGTGTGCGTAGACCAGAAGCGAGCACCTAAACGGGGAGAACAGCAAGGATTCAATAGCAGAGGAGCAGAGGTGAAACAAGACAAAACTGAATGGAGACCATCTTTCAGGGAATACCGTTCCTATGAAAGACAAGCGGAATTCATGGTGGAAAGGTATGTGTTGTAGATTTGTTGCAAGACAACTTAGTTCATGCCCATAAGAGCTGTAATTTCAGTTTCCTTGCAGACTGATTTGGAGCAGTTTTGCTAAATATTAGAAATATAAGGCGAAACTGAAAAGTCTGAAGATCTGAAAATGTAACCCCTAGTCTGCAACATAAATGTTCATTTCTGAGCTTGCGTACCAAGCTTTGCAGAACATGTGGTGCAGTTTCCAAGTTGAATTAATTCTACTGTTCAAACTGAAAATAAACCTTTGTCACACCATTTACTGTTTGGACAGTGAACACATATCAATTTTGCTTTCTTTGTAAGTACTCGAAAATTCTATCTAAACCTTTAACACTTGGGAGCATGTCTGTTCTTACTTCACATCACAGTAGTCGGTGTTTAACAAGTTCCCTGTAGTTTTTTAGCAGTTACATATAAGTCTGGGTTTAGACAGTAAAGCTATTGTGTGACAAAGTTGCTGAAGATTTGACAGTTTTATACTGTTTTATTTAACTTTTTTTATGTTTTCAGTGTTATCAATCAGCAGCTGAAATTTCTATTCCTGTTACCTGTAATAATTCCCCCTGAGTTCAGTTTATGTCCATTTTTAGTGACAAAACTAGCACAGCTGTACTGTGGGCTGTGTAAAGATGCATTCTAAAAATTGTACAGTAGCTCTCCTATACTGATGTCTCTCTCAACTGCAGAAATACAACTATACAATTATTTTTTCTCCTTGTTAACTGTTCTGTGGGAACAAAAATATGACTAGACATCTTCTTTTTAGACCATTTGAAAAATTAGACCGTGAAAGGCCAATAAGAGGTCGTGGTGGAGGAAGAGGTGGAATGCGAGGTAGAGGAAGAGGTGGTGGAATAAATAGAAGTTTTGATGGCTTTGACCAAAGAGGAAAACATGAATTTGGAAGACAAAGTGGGAATGGTAAAACGTAAGTGTTCTGTGTGCTGCTTCTTACTTGGTGTATGAGTAAACAATAGCCAGCACTGCAGTAGTGTCTCTTAAATATTCTGGTCCCTTCTTCTGTATCCGAGTTGGCTGGCAAAAAGTCAATAGCAGTTTTAGTTTGAAGTTCTAAGGAAAAAAAGCTCTTAAACTCTCAGAACCCGATTTCTCCTTCTAGAGGAATGAAAGCGGATGACAAAAAGGGTGGAGCTGGAGCTCGCAACTGGGGAACAGTTAAACGTGATACGAGGTAAAACACACTTGTGCCCACCATAGATCATAGTTTTCTGTAGCCCTCCTAAGATCATTTGCTCTGTTCACCAGTTTCATGTCCACTTTGAGCTTTGTAAGCCTTGCTTTCTGTTCATTGTTGTGATGAACATAGTTTTACAGTTTCCTGAACTCGTCTCCTTCATGTTGGTGAGATTAAATTGTAGCAAAGACATGGTGATGCTTCTTCAGTTAAGACTGCCAAAATCTTTTGACTGCAGCCAAGTTGTCTTTTAAATGAAATAAATAAGTTACTACTTTTCTCAGTAGTCAAGTAAGTGGGACTCTGCTATTTAATGGCATTGCTACAAAATGCTGATTAAAAGATTGAAACTTTCTTAGTGGGCTTAAAGTCCGGTCTCTCTTTCTCAAGTTTTAGTTATCGTTTCTAAATTGTGAAGCTGTAATACAGTTCAGTGTGGCTCTGCAGGTGATATTTAGCTGACTACCACTGAAATGCACTTTCAAGTGCAGAGGAGGATCAGTAACAGAATGTGGTGGCTTATTAATGGTCACTTAGATTTAAAAAAAATTGGGAATTTCCAGTTCAGTTCTGTATTTCTTTTACGTTTCTGTTCAGATTTGCAAAAAGCTCACTAGAAATGTTGATTTTGTCCATTCTTGGCACCTAGCAATGTGCTGCTCTTTCCAGCTGCTTTTATTTGCATATGGATATAGAAATATTTAATTGAAGGCTTATAAAGGACAGGGAAGAGGCAGTGCTTTAAATGTACAGCAAACATCTTTGGCCATGTATACATTTATTCACAAAATTGCTTTAAAAATAAAATTTTATTTTTAAAACTTAGATTGTGGATTCAGGCAATCTGGCTAAAAGGTTGAAAAATACAGCCTTGTTGGGTAATAATTTGGGGGCTTGATATTCCAAGTTCTTCTGAAAGGTTGTACAAACTTCTATTTCTTCTATAATATTTCATACTAAAAGGAAAAGATTGGTTAGGTACTCTGGCTTTTCAAAACAAAGGATCAGCTAGATTAATGTAGTTCTGAGCTGATAGCACAAATCTAGCTGAGCAAAATCACAAAACTAGCTTCTGCAGGATGTCAGGGTTGGTTGTGTGAACTTTATAAAGGGCGAGAAATTTAAGATTTAAGATCCCTTACATTTATTCTCCCTAGTTAAGCTTTTTTTTTTTAGTTCAGTAGCATCAGAACTTATGATATAAACATGAGATACTAATGCTTTCTTGTGATGTATATGTGGTAGAAGTGACATTAAATTGGAGTTATCTAGACAGTTCTAAAAGTATGTCTGTACCTTAATTGTGCTCAATGATGCATCAAAGCTAGATGTTAATTTTAAATATGTATGCCTACCAGTGGAATGAAAGGAAGTATGCTACTGCTCTTGTTTGACAGTGAACTAATGTCTGTTACAGAAAATATGAACTTGGAGTATGAATGTTACCATTTTAATGGATGAAAAGAAACAAAAAGGCAAACCCAAACATCAGTGATAAATTGCAATCAAGTAGTGGTATTAGTATTTACGATTGAATTATTTTGTCTTGATGCTTTTTGCTTTTTTCAATTAAAAGTGTGTAGAAGTCGGATTTTGCTAATACTTCTCATTTTGTTAGTCACTTAACTGGTCACTTAGTAGATCTACTTTCTGCTTATGTTTTTCTCCCCTAATTTTCCCACTCCCACAGAATTCTGGAAAAAAGAATGTATTGATCTGCAAGGTTTTTTTTCCATTGTGACCCATGAAGACTTAGTGGTGTTTTTGTTTACCACTTTAGGGGGATGGAACAGACTGCTGCCATGGAAGAGACTGCAGAAACAGCTGAGCAGCCAGGGACATCTGAAGGAGAGCCTCTGAACAAGTATAGTCTAACTGAAATATTTTCTTTCTAAGTGCAAAGAAAACAATTGACTGTTACTGATATACTTGTATGGGGAGGCACACTTGAAAGGTGAACTGTGAAGTTTCACTAGTGCACATAGTTTAAAATAGAAAAGCTTTGTCTATATGTGTGAGTCAAGAAAATGCATCCCTAATTCTGACTGAAGCTTGGTTTATACCGCTGCAGATTGCATTTAATTGCCCAGTGATGCTTACGTTCCTAAGATTTGGTGATAATTTAAGGAGGAGCTGCATATTGCCTGTTACCCTTGTAACTTGTCTAATTTGTGAAAAATACCCTGCTTTTTGAAGTTCTCTGTGAGAAAAAGGTGTTCAAGGTTTCTATGTGGTCGTTACAAACACAATTAAAATACACTAAGATAAAATTCTCTAAGTCATTATTCATCAGTCACTAGTACCATGCAGTTGTCATCTGTTCATGAGGGGCCTCTGTAGAATTTGAAAAACTTGCTGGAAGTGATCTTGCAGTGACCCTTAGAAGTATGGAAATTGAGAGAGAAATCTTCCCCTCGTCCTTGGGCTTTCATTCTGATCAGTGTCCACTGAGAATTTACTTCATAGCAAATAAACAGTGGTTTAAGAAAAAGTAACTGAACAATCTTGTCCAAGTAAGAGACTTTAAATAATAGTCAAATAGCACATGGTGAATATCTCCTAATGAGTGAAAGAGGGTCAGTGCAATATATCAGGCTTTTCTTCTGCTGCTATGAAGGCTTTTTTATGTAATGGTGCAGCTCCAATTATTAGTGGCCTTGCTTCATTTCTTAAGTATGAAGCTGACTGGATTACAAACTTGTTTTCTGTGTTCGGGTTGTATAACCATGTATGAAGTTGAGTTGATATAACTTTGCTTCTTTTAATTTTAAACTAGCTTTTAATATATAGCTAGAGGTATGCATGGGGAAATCTGTCTCTGAAATTGAATGAGTATGACTGGATTTCCAGAAAACTGTTTTCTAGACTAACTTACACTAGATGAGTAGTGTAGATAAACTGTCAAAAATGCACTGTATTAGCTAAATACGAGAACAATTATTAGCTTTTTTGTCAGCTTCTGCTACCTTTACTTTTTTTTTCTACTCCAACTCAAACTCGTTGTAGATGTGTTCTGACAACAGTTCCTTGTAGAGCGTAAGGCATGAGAAGTATATATAGTGGCAAAGCCATCTGACAGAATCTGGCAGTTATCTTTAATTCTTTTCCCTTTCTCAGACATCACTAGGTATTTGGTCAGACTATGAGCCTTTCTCGAGATTTTAGTCAACTTTGTGCTTTTAAGAAAGGCTTTGTTTAGAAATAATCAACTGAAATCTGTAAGGTTCAAAAATACAAGTAACCTACAAGTACAAAATTCTGCATTGTGTACTCTTTTTCAGTGCAATAAATATTGTCCTGAAGACTCACAAATCTGTGTTCAAAATACAAATTAAATATACCTCATTGTACCTACTTTTCGGGGTAGTATCAGCTTTGGTGACTCTATGTATTTTAAAATAGAAAACATTGTGTGAATAGTGCCTAGGTAATCAGGGATGGTTGTGTGGCATACACCTTAACAAGGTGGAATTTTGTTGTTCTTTTAATATTTAAAAGCAGAAGCTGATGGGGTGTGGTTTTCAGCCTTCAGGATGTATTTTAAGGTCTTGGATGCTTAGGTTGCCTCTGCTCTCCAGAGTTTCCCTGTCTTCTGGCAAGTAACATACACCAGCAAAAGATTCTAGCTAGGCTACCTTCTGCTTTCACTGCAGTGTCAATATTGAAGGTGTAGGTGTGTGTGTTTGCTTAAGCTACTACTAGAATTGTTCTCATTTTGGCTTCTAAATTCAGCAACTCCAAGGAATCAATTTATTTTCTACTGCTGTATTGCAGCTATGTACTTGTATTGAGGAAGAGATGGAAAACTTGAGTTTGTTTCTTTTCTCATTCTCGTTCCTATTGTAACTGTTTCCATTTAAAAGGGAAAAAAAAGTATTCCTAGAAATTAGGAATAATTTGTCTGTATGGAGGTACTGCATAGCTTTTTGGTGTGGTACTGGCTATTTTCAATGCAACTCTGCAAAAACCTCTGTGGGCTTCTGTAATTCACACGGTCTTGCCTTCAGGACTGTGTCCACGATGTTGTTCTTGAGCTTCTGTATACAAAGTATTGCAGGACAGGAGTTTCTTTACTTCTACTGTATATAATTCAAGTTATTTCTTTCCATATCTTTGCATTTTCTTGAGTGTATCAAAAGTATCAACCTCTGTTTATAGCATCACAAACTGCATGCTAGTAGCTGGAGTATTTTTTTTGCTGCAAGTAGTAAGTATAAAATACGCTAGTACGACAGCGTAAGCTCTCCCCACAGCTGCTTTCTGCTGAAGTTGTCATCACAGTCTGACCAATGTAATGCACTTGTGTTGACTGGTAATTCAGAGGAATAGATTTTTCTTTTTATTAAGTACGACACACAGTCTAATCAATTCCTATCAAAGGTATTTGCAGAGTTAGTATTTATTCTGTGGTGTTTTATTCTATTTATTCACACAGGACTCTTTGTTCCTTTTTGGTAGAGCTCTGTATTCTTGTCATTTGATAGGAAGCTTTCAAAATTTGTCTTCAAGTTTGATGAGCTATATACTGCTCTTTTTTTGTTTGGTTGGTTTTTGTTTGTTTTTATTTTTAATAGTGACATAAAGCTATCCATAGACCAGGCCAGATCTTTTAAGTATTTGGTTTGATGTTTTTTTCTATAGTTAACTTGTGCAATTGTCACTTGAGTCTTTACCTTGTTTAACTTTGAATTTTGGTATAACTGGTGGTAATGCTCCTGTAAATTATGTTTAATAGGAAAGATTCATGTCACTGATTTCTTGATAAAAGCTGAATAAAAATTTGCTTTGTGTAGCTGAATAATACAAAAAAAATAGGAAAAAACCCATTATCATTATTTTTAATCGTAAGAAAATAGTCAGCTGAACAACTGAGCTGAATGCCATTCTTTCCACTTGTGTTTCTTCTGCATATTAATGTGTTCACATAGAACCGTTCCTGCAAGACAGGTATGCCCAGTAAAGGGCATGTAGCTGGAGGGTTATAATCATCCATTGTAAACGCTGAAACAGTAGTAACCATTACTGAAGGCTCCCATTTGGTGTTCTGGTATGTACTTCCATTGTGAATTCAGTTTGTTCATGTCCAGATGCCATGCTTAGTTGTCTGGCAATATTTTGGTAAATGTGATTGTTGGTGTGCCAAGGAGCTCATTAACTTGATTAATGAAAATGCACACGAAGCAGTTACTAAATACATGTAAGGTTACAAGATAGAAAGTAAGGCACAGAGTGCACTTCCATGAAGGCTTGGTGCAGAAAATAACCTGCTACAATTGAGTCTCTGTCCAAAATGTGATATGCAGGCTCCTGTTGCTGTGCTTCACTAATGGTAGGTATTTCCCCTTGGGAATCTTGGCATCCTGAAACAAATTTGTACTGCTAATAAGCTAGCCGTTGAAACCATCTTTGGAGTAAAAATCAAACTGTATTTTGCAGTTGAAAAACCAGTAACTTGCATGTAAATCCACCAGTATTTCCTTTAGAAAAGGCAAGTGGGCATTTCTGATAGATATGTACTTCTCAAAGCAATACTCTCCGATTACTTTTTTGAGAGGTCAAGTTGCTGTGTAGTAAAATTATGATCATAGAGACGGACATGGAATGGGATCTTACTGACCCAAGACATGACCAACCATACCTGTACCACTTCTCATACCTGTCTAGTTGATTTTAGTGTCCTCTACTGATAGAGATTTCAATGTCCCTGGATGGACTTTCCAATATTTGGAAAATAGAAACAATGTTTGTTGTTTTTTGTTGCAGAGTGTCTTACCTTAACGTGATGGATGTGCAAAATTTTCTTTCTTTTTTAGAAAGAAAAAAGCTTTTTTAACAAATGTTTGTCTTCAGCATCTCTTTAAAGGCTTTCCATGTAGATCACATATTTTAGACCTTGTATCTGTCTTGCAGTTCTATTCTGGGCTTCCTACTTCTTCCCATGTAGAAGACATTACTCACCTGAGACCCTGTTCCCCACTGGTGACATCTGTTCCAAACAAAAAAAGGATGTGTCTCCTTATAATAGTATGCTGTTGCAGAAGGGACAAATGCTGTTAAAGTTCAGCTTGACGGGGTTACCTGCAATACTCTTGCACAGTTTAGGGGGCTCCTTCAGAGCTTCTGCCCTGCTAGTGGTTCTTTCTGTGTGTGGGTGGCTGATGCCTTGCCTGAGAGTATTTCTGCTTGTCCTTGGGACGTCCTGGTGGTGGTTGTTTGTTTCCAAATCACTTAATTGGTCTCTTTAGCATCTCAGTCCACTGGTCATTCCTCAGTATTCTTGAACATTTTGCTGTTTCTTTCGCAAGCTTTGTGCCATAGAAAACACAGTAAATGTATTATGGATACCTGCACAGAGATAGCCTTAAAGCTCCACTCGAAAGCTTGTTTTTCTTTTTGCAAATTGGAAGATTGATAGCTGCTGCTCAAGTACTTGTTGCAACTAGTTTTGTATCTTCCCCAGCACTTGCCAAGGACTGAAACAGTGTCTTGCTAAAACTGGCAAAAACTAATGTGGGAGAGGAGGACAAGACTTCATAAAATTCAGATATGCAATCTACTGATTCTGTCCTAAGGTAGTAGCTTAGGAAGAAATTAAACCAATTTAATACAGCTCCTTTTTGTTAGCTTACTTCCTCTTTTCTTCTTTTTTCCTTTTTTTTTCCTTGGTGTTTGCAGTTAGTCTTGTTTTTCTAACACCTATTCCCAAACCTGAAGCTTCAGGTAATTGATAAAAAATTATCTCACTTCTTAGTCTTGTGGACAACATGTTGAAACATTTGGGGTGCAATTGGCTCTTAATGCTCTTACACGTGGAACAGTATCTGTTGGTGTTTTTCCAGAAGCAGCTGCATCTTTCACCAGTATTCTTTTTATTTGACTTAGTAAACCACTTAATTTTTTTCTTATCAGTGCTTCTAATATAGTTTCAGATCTTCTTACTCAGTATGGAACTATAAGCTGCTTACCAGTCCTTTAACCTTTACTTTTTGGTTGATACAGCTGGAATTTTCAAAATAACAGGGCTTGAAGGCATGTCAGAGTGTAGGCATATAGTACAGGACTTCCATATTTTTTACTTTTTCTGTGAAGTGCATTTAAAACTGTGTTCATCCTAGAGCCAAAATTAAGGGCTGTTCTACTGTTGAGTCTGGTTCTACCTGTCATATGGTGGGTGCTTCAGGAAAATATTGTATAATTTGCACTGGCAAGAAATAGAATGGTTCTCTGTAAGATCAAGTAGGAAGAAGGAGCAGGCCTGTTCCTATATCGTCTTGTTTTAAATGTACAGAACATTCCCAACAAATGTGTGTGTTCTGATGGCATGCTTATACAACTTAAAAAAAAAGTACAGTTCACTGTACTGTCATTTGACTCGCCATCTTTCCATGATAAAATAGATTTTCACCTTTCATCTAATTAGCTGTATATTTACATTGGAAAAATCATCAGTGTTTGGTAGAAGACTTGGAACTGTGAGGAAAACCAAATCCAGAGTTCTCCCACCAGAAGGGATCTAATGGAAGGGTTTTCTGGAAAAATCTATGTTAGAAAAATGCTTAACCAACTTCAACTGCTATTGCAATGTGTCATAGTTCTGTGTGGGAGAAGGGAGAAATGTTTTCTCAAGTGTCTGGGAGTTATCCGTGCAGGTTTTCCTGAAGTTCGTGGTATTTGACTTGTTCCTGCAGCAAACAGTTATGGTGATGAAGTGAGTTGTGCTTTGAATGGGATACTGCTTAGTAGGGAGTAGCTTTCTGCAAATCTCATTGAAAGGTACACCTGTAGTTTACTCTAATAGCTGCTGGTCCTGGGCAAGTCAGTCTTGGTCAGCATCAGAAAAGTGTCAGAAGAATAGTCAAGCAGTGATGAGTCAAGAAGAATGTTTAGTTTTGTCTTATGTGTCTTGTCTTATGAATATAGACACAAAGCCTTCTGTCTTTACAGTTCAAAAATATGTAACGCAGACTCCTATGTACTCCATATGTTTTCTTTGAACCTGTCGCCATTGTTGCACTTTGTGACAAATTAGAACTAGACTAGTATTAATCTGATTTTGCCAGGTGATAAAAACTGTCTCCTTGTGTGATACTACACCTGACAAAAGAAATCAAACAAGCATCTTATGAAATTAACAAAGGAAATGTTAATAATTACCTAGAAGATCCCATGGTGTGATAATCATGTCTTTTTGATGACTGAAAGCTGCATGGAAACATTAATCCATCTCATACTGTCATCCTGTAGTATGAGTCAATAAAACCATGCAATTGGGGTGTCTTAAAACTGACTGGTATGCTTTTTTTACTATGGCTATATTTGCTAGGAGTAGATACACTATTAAACAGTAGGGTTGAGAAAATATCAGATCAAAAGACAGATTACTTCTGTCTAGAATCCAAAGTGCTTGAACTTACAATGAGTTTGGATAAATATCAGAACTTACTACAGGAGGCTGAAGGCAGCATTTGTTTATACAACTAATTTCAAACAGACCATAAGTATATTTTACAACTTACATTAATGGAAAACTCAAACATCAAGTTACTGTGGGGAGTAAGTGAAATTGAGGATAGTAATTTGGTGAGAAGCATTCCAAATGTTTTATTTAGTGTCCTTACTATAGAGATTAGTGTTCTTGTTCATCCTGGCATGTTGCAAGCTAATGGTTTTTACTTTACAACTATAAACCTTTAGAGTTGCTGAAGGAGAGCCAATGGAAGAAGTAGTTCAAGAAATGACGTTAGATGAGTGGAAAAATCTTCAGCAACAGAATCGACCAAAGCCTGAATTCAACATCCGGAAGCCAGAATCCACTGTTCCTTCCAAAGCAGTGGTGATTCACAAGTCAAAATATAGCTATGATGTAAGCATTGCCTCAGGAATTCTGTAAACTCTGCTTTATGGCTAGGGTTAGGAAACTGTCTCTATTATCTTTCTGTTAGTTTTAGTATAATCTGAACAGACTAGACATCAGTATCTAAGCTCTGTTACTGCAATGACATATGTGCCCCAAAACTTGCTTTAAACTTTCCATCTGTTCTTTTTCTTCTCTGATCATCACCCCTATTTTGTATGCAAATAAATTATATATCAAGTTGTTCTACCTTATGGCTCAGTCTTAGCAGTATAAAACCATGTCCTTGCTGCTGCCACCTATGTAGATCTCTGGTAATGATGCTAGAGAAACTTAAGTTACTAAACACTTCTTTGAATACTGTTTAGCTTACTTGCTAGTATACGCTTGCATGTATTTGTTAAAGTCAGGTTTTGGCATCTGTTAGTCTGGATGCGAAGTATCCTATTTCTCATCTGTGCTGGATCCCAGCTTTCATTGTGCACTTGGAATATATGATTTTGTTTTTTTTCAGTTTTAGGGTGCTGCTTCTTAGAAGTAACTCTGGAGAGCTTGTTCTGTAGTAATGTGCTTTCTCCCCCCCCACCCTCTTCCCTAACTTTTATTCCACAATATTACTGGGATTGACATTTCAGGGAGAACTTCTAGTTTACTGATATGATTGGGAAGAGAGGGGAAGTGTCTTTCACAGCTTCTTGCTTACTTAGATTTCAGATTTTGGGGATCACAGAAGTATGTGCATATACTTTTAGTCTAGCATGATGGAATTTTTCTCCTTAAAGTCTGCATGCATGTATGAATACACAAATTATTCTTTGTCCAATTATACTATTAGCACCAAAACTTGCAGCTTTTTAAACCTTAATCACTTTGGGTTATTCAGCGCTTCCATGGACAGACACTAGCACTGGAGTGGCCTGCGTCCTTTTTAGCACGGCTTTTGGTGGTCACAGTTGCCATTATCCCCTCTTCCTTCTCTGAGGGACATGGTGGTAGGAGAGGGAAGAAGATCTTTCACAGACTCTGAAGAGTGTGCAAGTGTGTGAAGACCACATGCAGGTTTCTGTTCTTTTTGCCCATAAAGTTTCTTGGCTGGCAGTATCAAGGGACTTTGTCAAAATGAACATCGAATAGGAGGTATAGGAAATGCGTAACATGGACAAGTCAAATCCCTGTATTAGACATTGAATAAAATAAGTAATTAATCACTATATGGGATGAGTTTAGATACATGTTATCATTACTACAGTGCACATTAAAATTATGATGGGAAATAGTCTTACATCCACTAGCTACTAGGAAAATACAGAGTTAATACAACAGTAATCTCATAGCTGCAGACAAATTGACTGATAGATTGGTTAGTGGCCAAATACTGTGTTTTACTGTTTTCACCATTACTTGAAGATTACTGTAAGTAGCTTAAGCCTGATTCTCTAGTCCCTTAGAAAACCTCCTAGATGATATTTCTGAAAAACCTCTTCAGTGTTACAGAGCTGGTACAGAAGATTTTGTTGACAGGACTCTCTGAGCCAACAAAGAACTATCCCAGGCATTTGAGAAGCTGCAATTGCCTTGCCTCTGTTAAAAACCCATGCAAGTTAAAGCCTGTCTTCTGTTCCAGATGTCATCTTGATTTATCTGCTGCTTAGTTTGTGATACAAGCGTGTGTGTATGTGTATATGTATATGTATCAGGGAGGGCATAAGGTTGTACCTGGAAGCAATAGACTCTAACCAGATCTTCTTTTTAGTTGCAAAAAGATGACTTTGAAGACAATTCTCATGTCTTTCGAAGACCAGTGAATGACATAACATCTCAGCTAGATATTAATTTTGGGAGTCTTCCTCGTCCTGGCCGTGGATCAAGAGGAGCACGACGTGGTCGTGGTTGTGGCATACGAGTTGCAATAGGACCTCGACCAGACGTAGTGGTGATGGTTTTTATGGTTTTTGTTGTTGTTTGTTTGGGGATTTTTTTTTTGTTGGGGGGTGTGTGTGTCCCACCTGCTTTTGTATGGAATTACCAATATCTGTAGTGACAGACTTGTTTCTAATTCTTGCTTCATAATATGTGGGTCAGGTTATTTAAGTTCCTGACCCTTATCATGTTACTTAAAAGTAAATAGCAGTTCAGGCTCACCATCTTAACACATACATTTCAAAAGGTCTGATTATTAGTTGCTGTAATGGCAACTCGAGGAAAGGATGCAATGAAGATTTGTTTCTGCAATGAGTTTTGATATAAATTGGGAAGTAATTAAAATGACTAAAGGCTTACATCCCTTACAAAAAAGTCAGTATAGTATCGTAATAGTACTTTGATTACTGAGGGCAAGATTGGTAAATCCAGGATCATACAGTAGAAGACAGCATCCTACAGAATGATACAAGTGTTCAATGTAACCACTGAAAAAGCTTCCACTGACCTTTTTCCCTTTAAAGAAACAAACACATTTGCACACTGAAAAATGACCATCTTTGTTCTTCATACTAACTGAAGGTCTCCGTTTACTTCTGTCTAGTATGAGTAAAATATTTCAAGATACTTAAATGTTGGGAACTTACAGAGTGATACAGAGGTGATTTGATGCATTTGTTTCATCTGAATGGAAAAGGCTCTTTATAATAACAGATCATAGAGTTTAAAACTGCAATCCAATATGTGTGGTAGTCTTAGAATGTAAAAAGGTAATAATGCTGCTTCTAAAAGCAGACAGTATTTTGGGTGAGATTGCTTTACTTTTTTTCTTCACTTAGTGTTGCAGAACTTGTGATCTTCTATTCCTCCCCAGGCAGTAGATCAGCATTATAAATACATTCACACTGAAGAAATTGTAGTCTTAACTTCTGAGATAAATGCTTAGCATTTCTGTGATAGTGATGGATGCAAAGCATTTAACTTGAATAGAAGAATGAAACCTTTTCAGGGTAAAATACATCTACATAGTTGTCAGATGCTTTTGAGATGCATTCATTTTTATAAAGTTTCTCTTCTTACTTTATAGGTGCAGCTTGTTGCTCCAAATCCTGATGATCCTGAGGATTTTCCAGCTTTAGCTTGAACCGTCATGAATGGTGGTATTTCAAAGTACCTTTGGTGTAACTATGAAGAGACCAGTTTTATGCTGGTGTGGATAAAGAAATTCTGTTTCTACTGAAAAGCTGTTTGGGTGTTGGTGTGGAATGATCTGAGCCCTCTGCTAATGGAGTTGGGTTCTGGAGATACCAGTGGACTGGGATCCTGTCACAGGTTCCTGTGTCTGCCACCAGCTGTGAAAACTGTGAAGGCTTATAGTACTTTGCTACAAGGCTTCAAGTGAAGTTCAAGAGTGCAATGTTTAAAAATGTGTACATAGAGGTTATATCAAGTTTTCCATGACACTATGGTGAAATGTAAACTGTACAATATGGTCTGCAGTTGGGACTCCACTGTACAGTTGAAAGCTGCTTTCCCTGTTTCTTTTGAGTGAGCGATATATTTCACATGGTCACAAGTTGCAGTTCTTCAGAGTTTGGCAAATAAAGGAAAGTGCTCATTGGTGTGGGTCTGAGGTATTGTTTTCACAAGTCAGAGTAGCAGATTGAAGCTTTTTCTATTTGGATGTAGTCTGGGGAAACAAACAAACCAACCCAAACTTAAACAGCAGACCTTTCTCACCCAAAACAGTGAACACCTCTCTAAAGAGAAGTGATCTTTAAAATTAAGGCAGCACAGATGCTTTTAATTGTTAGCTAACCGTAAGTCTTGTTTCAGTAACAAGATATTATCTGCAACTGGTCTGAAGATGTTGAAAGTGAAGTAAAGTAAGAATTCTAAGCTAAAGACAGAACTAAACTGTTAGGAAGGCTTCTAATTTTACCAGGAGCTACAAACTAAAATGTTTCGTGCCTTGCCAGGAAGTTTGTGTGACATTGGGGATGAGGTGGGATGGCCTTTCCTTGCAGCTTTAACATACTTCCTCACTTGAGCCAGATACCCTAACTTGTTCCCTGTCAAAGGGGACACTCAGAGCTGTTCTTGGGGATCTGAGAAAAACAAGGAAATGGTGCCAGAAGTGATGAGGGAAAGAAATGAGAGGAGAACCACACTAGATATTTTGCAAGTAGCTGTCAGCTGCAAACGAGTTTTCAAATGCCTGCTCAACTTGAACCCTTTCTTTCAATTTACTGGGAAAGCAGATGAATATAAACCTCCTTTTTTCCCTGTTCTCTGCCTCCCTTTGTTTTGTATCATTTCTAAGCAGTCTCATTTGAGAGCAAATAGTGAATGAGACTTGAAGAAAAAAAGTTTTGCTTTGGAGTAAGCTCTAAGAGTATTCAGAAACTTAAATTAACTCTTATCTCTATGGTAAGGCTTTATGCAAGTAGGATATAATAATCCCAGAAAGACTAGAAAGACTACTGACTCTTTTCTATATACTCCAAACAGACGGTCTGCAAAGTAGTGCTGCCCAAAGGACTTTTGTTACATTGTTAAATTACTTATATGACAATCTGCTATAACATGAGATTTCAGATTCCACAAGGAGCACATTTTAGTGGCATTGGGATATTATGACAACCTGCAGTAGAAAGAATGTGCACAAGTAAAAGTGTTGGTTTTAGAGGAACCCATGCTCCTTCTTTTTGAGTAACTGAACAGGATAAAACAACAAAAATGACTCTTTCACCTTGTAGGAACAAGCTACTACTTGAAATCACTGCAGTTCAAGATTTTGCTGCTGCTCTTGTAATAGGTACTTGGGTGTTTCTGCCAAAAATGGCAATTTCATGGTTGTGGAACAGAAGTTATTTTGTCTATGGGGATCTTGGAATTTTTTTGCTTTTTCTTCCCTTTTGTTCCCCTTATCCCATGGGACAGGGAAGAATGTGTCTGAATGTTTATTGATATTTTTGCTTGCAGGGGTGATTGTGCATACAGGTATGGAGGGCTTCTTTGCAAGGCTCACCTCTGTTTTCCTGTTTTATGTCTTCAAGGTGTAGCCTCTTATTTTACGAACACCTCTTTTTGCTAAGGAAAGCAGTGAAATACTTTAACCATTCCTTTTTCTACTAAAAATTTGAAACCTTGTTACGCTACTGGGCTGAATCTGGTGCAATGCAATTTGTTGAGTTCTGACTGTTTTCTGAGAAGGCTGAAGGATTGTTCTATTTTTCAGTCTGGTTCCTGCTGCTGCAAAGCTACTGTTTACTCCTCTAACTTTGATCTGTTTTTTGAAACAAAATGACAAAGAGGTTCTGTGGGGAATGTTTTAAGGACTTGTCACGGTGTATCTGTATAATCAGCATTTGGTCAGCAGATTATTGAAAAACTCCTGGTTTAAAAAAAAAAATAAAATGGGCTGCTTTTAAGACTGTTTAATGAAAAAATACCCAAACAAGCAACAAACCTAAACAAACAAAAAACACCCCAAAAAACCCCAGCCCACCCAGCTCAAAACTTTGTGAGAGTGAGACTTAATGTTATTGGTTACTGCTTATTAAACCAAAAGTGTCTTACAACAGCTAAGTGTGACAATTTTCTTTTTCAGTCTGTCAGACTTGAATATGGGTTAAGAATTTCTCTAGTTGAGAGTATCTAAGTATAAAGAAGAAATTATTAGTTGTGTGTGGTGACAGTGATCTGATTCCTTTGCCTAGCTGTGAAAGAGAACTTACTAAATCTCAGTCATCTGTCATATTTAAGGTACCAAAATAGCTCCATCTGTTAAGCACGTCTGCTGCTAACAGTTACTCCTGGTTTAGCTTTACTCCTTTGTGTAAAGCAAATGGTAGCAGGTGTAAATATATACACAAACACTAGTAAAACATGGCATGCATCTTGGGAAGAGATTAAATTGTGCTGCAGATCTTAGTCATGTTACTCTTCAATGCAGTACTACAAGATACTCTGCTGTTAGGATTACTGTAGTGAGTGGCCTAGGAAAAACTACTGCATTTCAGCTTTTGAGTTTTAGATTAATGTAAATCACAGAAAGTTTGTAAAGAAAGGAATTAACCTTTCTCCACTACTGGCATTTATATATGATAGTGTTGATACTGTGTGGTCCACTTGTATCATACCTGGTACTGTGGTATAGGATTGGCAAGAGTATATTACTCTGAAAGTGCCTTTAAAGGAAAGAGGAGATTAATGTCTATGCTTAACATAAGAATACTAAAGAATAACTAAAAAGATGCAGAAGTAAAAAGCCCTGGTAAAAAAAAGCTATAATTGATAAATAGGGATATTAGGCAAAGAGCCTGTGGGAGATGAGCTTTCATCTTTGGTTACGCTTTTTCATGTGAAAACAGGGCTCGGGGTATGTACAGTGTTTGGGCCCAAACCTGAAATCTATAGCCCTAGTACACCTGTGTCATTAAGATTATTCTTCCATAATGTTCAAGCAATTTTTTTCCCTTCAGAGCTGTCACAGGCACATGTATGCATAGGCACAAGACCACATGGAAGTATGCATAATACATATTATATATGCAGTGTTGAAAGTAATGTAACACTGGTTCATTGCCACTGGACTGACAATTGAATGTGAAACATGGTTATCTTTGCAGAAAAGGTACATTTCAGTCACTGAATAACAGGCATGGAATTGGAGCTTTTCTCTTGCAGTAATGTATATTGGGCAAGGACTGAACAGTTTGTGCTTGGAGGGAGAAAATCTTCAGCCTTCAGAAGAAGTAACAACTGTTCCACTGTGGCTCTATTACTTAGAATTTAATGTGAAATACATTAAATCTTCAGATGGGTTTTATTTGTCTGCAAACAAATGCCTTTTTGAAGATGTGACACAACAAATGTTACAGGTAGCTGCACCTTCAGAGCAGCTTTAGATACTGCATCACATTTAATTGGCAGTGTTATGTTTGAGACAAACTAGCACTTAATAAAGTTTTTGCGCTCTCTGGGTATCCTGTCTGAATATCCATATTTTGTGTTCTGTTGTCTCTACAATGATTTATAGCTCGTTAACAGGACTCAATAAGCTGGTGTCTGCTTTTAGCGCAATGGTAATTCCTCTGTCTTGATTTGTACAGTAGTTACTATCTGAATTAAGGATACTGTGTTTTGCATAATGTAATTGAATGTGCAGGATACCTTTGCCAAAAGGTAAAAATAGCAGTAACAAGGTACTGACCTATTCTCCTCTGGCAAGAGAAAAAATAAGTTCACATGCTATAATCCAGGAATTCTGTGCTTGTTAGTGGTTTAGTTATATTTCTGTATTGAATGCTGTTTTGAGTTTTTCCTGGCTCTAGCAAAGGCCCTGGACCTTGGAAGCTCTTGTGGGAAAATTAAAACCTAGTAACCTTTTCACTGAAGCTTCCACTGAAGTGAAAGAAAGACCATAGGCTAGAAGAGGTCTGAACAGATGGAGGAAGGGAGGGAACCCCAACAATTAAACTCAAACTTGGGAAGAAAGACAAGTGGGTCTAGAGAGAAGCTGTGTTTGAAGGAGGAATAATGAGGAGGCTGAGCCTTTCCACCGAGTAGAAGACCAAGTAACTGCCTTGCTGTCTTAAGAGAATAGCATCAAAGCACTGATGGAGTGAAAACAAGCTCACAAGGGTGAGAACTGGTCTGCTCCAGCATTGGCATAGTGTCTATCTTCCTGCTATCAGCAGCAATCACTTTGGATTTTCTTGCAATAATGGCTGCTGCCATGGGTAATCTCCTGTCTGCACCCTCTGTCCTGTTGGTGCACAAGGACTTTGGAATTTACCACTTTATCCTGTTTGTGGCATAACTTGTCTGCAGCAACTCGTGTAGTTGGAAGAGCTGGGAGCCGAAGGGGCTAGTGGCACAGGAGAGTTTTGCATCTGCCCTGTGCAGCAGGGCAACTGCATGGTGGGCTGAGGGATGAAAAACAGCAGCTACTGCTTGGGCTATCTGGTTTTGCCACCGATTCTTTGGCAGCCTTGGGGACTGGGACAGAGTTTGATAGGGAGGACACAGACCGGGAGTGGAGCTGTTGAAAGGACAGACTTTCTAGATGCCCTCCCCTAGTCCCTCTTGTCACAGCCCAGTGCTTGGACCAGGTTCTTGGAGATATCCCATGAATAA